TCATCATCATCATCATCATCATCATCATCATCATCATCATCATCATCCCATCTCCGTCCACTCAGGCCAAAACGCCTGCGTCGTGCGCACGGGGCCCAGCTTGGACTCCGAGGCGGCCGAGTGCTCGTGGTGCGTCGCTTGGTGATGGCTTCGGTGGTGCGTCAACAGTGAATCGGTACCTACGCGTACCTATAGGTGTATGATCAATGATCAAAGATGCCTCAGGACTCTTAGGAGCAATCGTCCGATCCGGCGGGGCTCAAACGTCCCTGGTGCGAAGTCGTCTCCGCCAGTGGCTGGATGAGCTACCTCCCAAGACCCACGTGACCGTGGTCGAGGAGTGGGGCAGGAAACTTGGGGCAAAAGCAGTCCAGAGTGCAGAGCAACCATATAGTAAATAATACATGAATATGTATATATATATATGCATTTGTTAATCATGTAATTTATGACTTAGCTTAGCCTTCCAAGACCATCAAAAGAGTTCGATTGACCTGGTTTGGTAGAAGAAACCTCCTGAGTAATTAGACAATGGTTGGGACCGGGATTTAGACCGAACTCATTGTTTCTTTACGCAGATCCACCTTCTGCGGATCTGTGTTTGCTGGCTTTTGCTCCTAAATCCGTACATTAATTCATGTTATTTTTCCTCACTTGAAATCCCTGTTGTGCCATATTAGGTTGGAACCCGGGTGGTCCAATGTCTATTGTTTGGATCTATGATCGATGTTTTAATAGTACCATCCTGCGGTCCACTGACTGATGGACAGCTCCATGGGATGTTCCTCTTCTTTTCGGCTACATGAAGACCAAGGGTTGGGATGTTTGTTGCTGTTCGTGAGCAGGGAAGCCTTCATCAGGAGATGGTATTCCATCATCGGTCCCACAGTTCTCCCACGTATCCTGTGCTCCCCCCAAACACACGCAACATCGGCCCGAGACGATGAGATCAGGAGCTGCCATCCCCCCACAGCTGGACAGCTGCCCCAGTCACAGTGGTCTCACAGTGGTCGCATCGCACGACTATACATCGTCCCAATACGTCAAGCAGTCCTTTGGCAGCTTTCTGCAGCAATGCTGCAGGATGTTTTCGTCCTTTTTTCTTCAAGAGTCGTGAGTAGTGACGTCATATATAGAGATACGATGATATACTGGCTTGCGTGTGCTGTGTGTGTGCTTAGACCTCTTGAGTCGAGGCCCGGGACGAAGACCGCAACATAGCTGGCTAATGATCGCCATATGTTTTGGAACGATTCCCACCATGTTCTGGGACTCTTTGTGGAATCCAATTCAGGACCATTTCAGATATGATTCTGAGCTGTTTCCATCTCTCCCAAGGTTTTAACTGCTCCACACACGAGATTCTTGTGGGGA